CAAAATACATTTTTTCCTCGCTCGCTTTATCTATTAGTTCTTTCTCCTTTTTCGTTCCTCCATATTTTGAAAATCTACAGAATCTCAATTGTATTTTCTTATCCTCTGTACAAACGTACATTCTACACGAGAGTTCGAGCGGAACATACAAGCGTACATACAGATCCTGTACAATCATGTATATGCAATATACAGCTTCCAGATTAAATATGAATTCTCTGTCTGACTGATTTCTTTCCTTCGTTGGGCGTCCGTCCGTCAGTCATGTATGTATGTTGTATGTATGTATGTGTTGTTGTGTGTGTGTGTGTGTGTGTGTGTGTGTGTGTGTGGTGTGTATGTGTGTGTGTGTGTGTGTATGTGTTGTGTGTGTGTATGTATGTGTGTGTGTTATGTGTGTGTATGTGTGTGTGTATGTATGTGTGAGTGTGTGTGTGTGTATGTATGTATGTATGTGTATGTGTAGATGTGCGTACTGTATACAAGCGCACAAACCCTTTCATAATTATGTTGTATATAACATATCACACAACTCCATGCGTACAGGCGTGACACAGTCCAATCTAATTTTATTAAATTAATAGTAGGTTCCGAAGCTCTCACAACAGCTGATGTCACGCCATCCTTTCTTATGATGCGAGGTGTCTTGTAGTACACAAAGGCCACGTGACTTTAATCTTATCTCTTGGAAAAAGATACAATCTGTGGGAATAACACTTATATTCATGTTCAGGTTAGATAATAAAGGGATATTTTCCTCTTCTCATCTCTCGTTTGTCTCTGTCTATTTATCTATCCGTCTGTCTGTCTTCTTCCATCTCTCATTTTCCCATCTGGCTCGTGTGTCTATTTATCCGTCTATCTCTCTCTTTTTCTTCTCTCATCTCTCGTTTCTCGTCTGCCTTAGTTCTCTCTCTGATAAAAAATAATTAAGAAAAGACAAAGTGTATCTGAAATTCTTTATTTTACATTAAAGCCATTCCCACGTCAATAACTATCACAGGGAAAGCATTTAATCCTATTTACAAAATATAACTACATTCTAATAAGATTTAACATTTATCACAGAACTCGGCTAAAAGTCAAATATCACAGTTTTTTATAATTCAAATACCATAAATAGTATGCATTTCACCAATAAAAAATATCCAAAAAAATACCCAAATTAATAAAACACAAGATATTGATGCTTAACATTTGCTGCACAGAAAGCAGCTATATATTATATAAGCAACATGGAAAATAAATGTATGGGGAGGAGAGAGAGGAGAGAAGAGAGAAGGAGAGAGAAATGGAAAGAGAGAAGGAAGGGGGAGAGAAGGGGAAAGAATCGGGAAGGACAGAGAGGAGAAAAGGAAAAGGAAGAAAGAGAGAGAGAGAGAGAGAGAGAGAGAGAGAGAGAGAGAGAGAGAGAGAGAGAGAGAGAGAGAGAGAGAGAGAGAGAGAGAGAGAGAGAGAGAGAGAGAAGAGAGAGAAACGGGGGAATGAAAGCGAAAGAGGAAAGAGAGAGAAAGAGGAAAGAAATCAGGGAATGAAAGCGAAGGTAAAAAAATACGAGATAAGAATAGACAGAAAGAAAGCAATGAAGAAAACGAAAGAGATCGATAGAAAAAAGTGTTTGACAAGGAATAAGAACAAGAGAACAAGCGAATAAGCAAACGTGGCAGAGTGGCGTCTCTGTCCACGTGTGAAGATGTGTCTATTTACATAAGTGTGTGGGTGTACGGTGTCCATGGATGGGGTGTGTGTATGCGCGCATGCATGTGTGCACATTTGTGCTTGCAGGTCTGTATGCTGCATGGATGTGCATACGGGCATGTGTGCATGTATACATGTATGCATATTATTATTATTATATGCATATTATGTATGCATGTATGCATGTGTGTGTATGTATGCATATGTATGCATGTGTGCGTATGTATGCATGCATGTGTGTGTATGTATGCATGCTGTGTGTGTATGTATGCATGCATGTGTGTGTATGTATGCATGCATGTGTGTGTATGTATGCATGCATGTGTGTGTATGTATGATGCATGCATGTGTGTGTGTATGTATGCATGCATGTGTGTGTATGTATGCATCATGTGTGTGTATGTATGCATGCATGTGTGTGTATGTATGCATGCATGTGTGTGTATGTATGCATGCATGTGTGTGTATGTATGCATGCATGTGTGTGTATGTATGCATGCATGTGTGGTATGTATATGCTGCATGCATGTGTGTGTATGTATGCATGCATGTGTGTGTATGTATGCATGCATGTGTGTGTATGTATATGCATGTGTGTGTATGTATCATGCATGTGTGTATGGTATGCATGTGTGTGTATGTATGTATGCATGTGTGTATGTATGTGTGTGTGTATGTATGCATGTGTGTGTATGTATGTATGCATGTGTGTGTATGTATGTATGCATGTGTGTGTATGTATGTATGCATGTGTGTGTATGTATGTATGCATGTGTGTGTATGTATGTATGTGCATGTATGTATGTATATGTATGTATGCATGTGTGTGTATGTATGTATGCATGTGTGTGTATGTATGTGCATGTGTGTGTATGTATGTATATGTGTGTATGTATGTGCATGTGTGTGTATGTATGTAGCATGTGTGTGTATGTATGCATGTGTGTGTATGTATGTATATGTGTGTGTATGTGTATGCATGTATGTATGCATGTGTGTGTATGTATGTATGCATGTGTGTGTATGTATGTATGCATGTGTGTGTATGTATGTATGCATGTGTTGTGTTGTATGCATGTGTGTATGTATGTATGCATGTGTGTGTATGTATGTATGTATGCATGTGTGTGTGTATGTATTGTGTGTATGTATGTATGCATGTGTGTGTGTATGTATGCATGTATGTATGTATCATGTGTGTGTATGTATGCTATGCATGTTGTGTGTATGTATGTATGCATGTGTGTGTATGTATGTATGCATGTGTGTGTGCATGTGTATGTATGCATGTGTGTGTATGTATGTATGCATGTGTGTGTATGTATGTATGCAAGTGTGTGTATGTATGTATGCATGTGTGTATGTGTCTGTTATGTGTATGTGTCTGTATGCTGTGTGTATGTGTGTATGCATGTGTGTGTGTGTATGCATGCATGTATGCATGTGTGTGTCAGTATGCATGTGTGTGTGTGCATGTGTGTGTGTATGTATGCATGTGTGTGTATGTGTGCATGTGTGTGTATGCATGTGTGTGTGTATGTATGCTGTGTGTATGTATGCATGTGTGTGTATGTATGCATGTGTGTGTATGTATGCATGTGTGTGTATGTATGTATGCATGTGTGTGTATGTATGTATGCATGTGTGTGTATGTATGTATGCATGTGTGTGTATGTATGTATGCATGTGTGTGTATGATGCATGTGTGTGTATGTATGTATGCATGTGTGTGTAGTGTATGTATGCATGTGTGTATGTGTCTGTATGCATGTGTGGTCTGTATGCATGTGTGTGTGTCAGTATATGTGTGTGTGTCAGTATGCATGTGTGTGTGTCAGTATGCATGTGTGTGTGTCAGTGCATGTGTGTGTGTCATGCATGTGTGTGTGTCAGTATGCATGTGTGTGTGTGTATGCATTGTGTGTGTCAGTATGCATGTGTGTGTGTGTATGCATGTATGCATGTGTGTGTGTCAGTATGCATGTGTGTGTGTGTATGCATGTTGTGTGTCAGTATGCATGTGTGTGTCAGTATGCATGTTGTGTGTATGCAGTGTGTGTGTGTATGCATGTGTGTGTGTCAGTATGCATGTGTGTAATGTGTGTGTGTATGCATGTATGCATGTGTGTGTGTTGTATGCAGTATGCATGTATGTGTGTGTGTCAGTATGCATGTGTGTATGTGTGTAAGCATGTGTGTATGTGTCTGTAAGCATGTGTGTATGTGTATGCATGTGTGTATGTACGCATGTGTGTGTGTGGTATATGCATGTGTGTGTATGTATCATGTGTGTTCGTATCGCGTTTGCAAAGCAGAATATGATAAAACTTTATTCTTCGTAAAGCGTAGCAAAATACTTTTATCTGTCAAACCACACATAGGTTTTTCCAAAAACCTACCCACAGTTTAGGCTCAAATAACCTACTTCCACTGGCCTACATTACCAACATCAATGGTACAAGTCATCTCTTTCACTCACAAAAAAAGGAAGAAAAGAAAAGAAAAAAAAAACTTCAAATAGGACTACTAACAACACATTCAATATTCAACCTTCGGCACTGCGACGACAAAGCTGACTAGGGTTTTACATACACACATTTTACCCTCATTGATAAAAAAAGAAAAATAAGTGACCAATACAGCACAGTAATTTCACCGGCATAGTAAAATTATTCGATATTAATGTATGCAAGTTGTCTGTCCAATAAAACGAAATTACAGTTTTTCTTCCCCCAAAATAAAGACATGAAATTGACATATTTCTCGTAAGCACAAACACAGAGGATTATGCATATGTTATGATGATTAATGAATGAACAAAGAACAAGCAATAATACGATTAAAATGTCCACCGCAAGAAAATTAAAAAGTAATAATTCACTAGAGAAAATACAAACGAAAAATAATCACACTTTATGTTCAAAAAATGTGAATTAAAGTAATTAGATATTACTAACCAAGCTGCTAAGTACATAACTACTGCACACTTGATAGTTAAATATTAGTGTAACTAAATCAAAAGCTAAGAACAAGCTACGTCAAAAGATAAAACAGAAAATCACGTCTAAAGTAAAAAAAGGAAGGAAAATAGGAGAAAAAGAAGAAAAAAGAAAAAATATAATTGAGAAAAAATAAGAAAATTTGATTAATGAAAAGGAGAGTGTGGGAAATATCAAGAAAGAGGGAAGGAGGAGGAGAAACAAAAGGAAAATTCTAAGAAAAGAGGGATAAGGAGAAAGAGATGGGAGGAGAAAACGGAGAGAAAATTAAGAGAAAGGAAAGTAAAGAAAGATAAGAAAAGGAGATGGCGGAAAAATAATAACGACACGAGAGAGAAAGAAGGGAAATAAGAAAAAAGTAAGACAAAGGACAGAAAAGGTGAAGAGAGCGGGAGAATGAAAGTAAACAAGAAATATCTTAAAAATGTAATACAATGCGTTCATTTTTGTTTTAACCAAACGTGACAAAACCAAAATCAACTTCATTTTTGGTTTACTTGTGATATATTTTACACTTTTTCACTCAAATAGTATCCCGAAGAGCGAAAGTAGGCGAAAAGTATAGCAAAAAACACTCGCTTTCCACCACAACAAACGCATCCCGTTGTCTAAATGAACGCAATATATCAATTCGAATATTTCACTAAGATAAACCCTTCCTAACATTCTTATACACCTACACACCTAAACTATCTTCATTAACACACAAAAGAAGAAGAAAATAATTACACAAACGGAATGCCCCACGAACTAAAAAGCATAAACGAACGAAAATCAGTGAAAAAAAAAAAATTCAAAAGTGAGCGCGGCAACCCACCATTCCGTCGCCCAGTGCAAACGAGTCTACAATTTTCACGCATTTTATTACTAATATCACACAGCGCAGATTGCTTCATATAAAAAGAACACACATGACAAAAGCTTTATTGTAGTTCTAAAACGGCATAAAATGTAAAAAAAAAGGGTCATGGTGGTGGAAAAATCCCCAAATACAAGAAAAAAAAATATAGGAAAAAATGTGTCATCAAATATAGCAATTTCTCAACACGCGCAATGGCGGTTACCTTCGCAATGTGGGCTCTGCAAGTAAAAGCACCCAATTTCCCCAACCTGCCTCCCACCCTTCATCTGTGCTTGCAAATGCACGCCTGCAACATTATAAAAGTATTCTTGGAGATTGGCAACTGCTCCGTGCAAGGTTTTTGACCTTTAAAAGAGCAACAGGGACCTTCAGGAGCAAGCAAGCAACGTTGGTTACTAAGTGTCGGCAACACTCGGACATCCATTGTAAAGGAGGCAAATAATGCTGCCAATGATGCTAACAGTGCTCTGGATATGATGATGATGATGATGATGATGGTGACGAAGATAATGCTAAAGATGATGATGATAATGTGTTTAGAACGATGATATGTATGGTACGGTACTCATAATATAATGCGATGAAGGCAATATCACTTGCAAAAATAACAAACCAATAATAATAATAATAATATAATAATATAATGCATATTGTATGTTCATTTCCGATATTTGACTTCCAAAAAACTTCAAGAAAATTACACTGGGATTATCACAATTTGTCATCACCTTTTCTTGTATAAAATGACTAATGTGATTTAGCTCAGTCACTATGTGTCAATAATATATTTTGCGATATTGGATAATACGTAGTTGAAATGAAGACTTTCAAATTACATTCCCGACCGCTAATTCTTTAAGAATACGTTTCATGTCGCAGATTTTGTCAAATGATAGAGTTTAAAATAGTTCACACGCATGCATGACACTCCCTCGCATGCACAGCCGGTCAGATAATCATGTGACCGGGCTGACGCCGTGCTAATATGCTCCGTCCTCTCCCATCAGGCAAAGTGGTGCATCGCTGTTTCTTTGTTTGTATTTAAACCTTTTTTTTACTCTTTTCTTTCTTATATATCGACATCCATCTCTCTCTCCCCTTGCTTTTCTTCGCCGTTCTTCTCTCTCCGTTCCGAAGCGAGATCCATTTCCACCCCCCGTTCGTGGATTCCCCCAACGCGCATGCCATCCACGAACGCGTCGGCGAGCGAGAACTTGTCCCGAGCGCTGCAAACTGGCTCCGACGCCTCCCTTTTCTTCTCGCCGCCGTCGCTGAGCCTGTCCCTGATGACGGTGTTCTCGCCCCGAAGCTCGACGACGCGCATTCGGACTTGCTCTACCACGAGGCGAATGTTCTCAGGGCTGAGGCGAGGGTGTTTCGCCAGGGCGTTGTGGCGCGACCGGCTTGAATACTTGTTCTCAGCGCCCTGGGGCAGGAGGGAGGGCAGGAGGGAGGGCAGGAGGGAGGGCAGGAGGGAGGGAGGGAGGAGGGAGGGGAGGGCAGGGGGAGGGCAGGAGGGAGGGCAGGGGAGGCAGGGGGGAGGGCAGGAGGGAGGGGGGCAGGAGGGAGGGCAGGAGGGAGGCAGGAGGGAGGGCAGGGGGGGAGGGCAGGAGGGGAGGTGGGGGCAGGAGGGAGGTGGGGCAGGAGGGGAGGGCAGAAAGGAGGGTCAGGGCAGGAGGGAGGGCAGGAAGGGCAAGGGCAGGGGGAGGACAGGGCAGGGGAGGGCAGGAGGGAGGGCAGGAGGGAGGGAGAGAGAAAAAAAAATGAGGGTCAAAATGCGAAGAAGGGGTATGACACGGAAGCCAAGGGGTTGAAACAGATCACTGGAAAAGGTCAAAGGATCAGAGACGAATTAAGGTCAGCTGATGCCCTAATCTCATCCCAATAATCATGATCTTCCAATGATGCACTGAAACAATACCATTTCCCTCATAGGCCACGAAAGCATCATATCAGATATAATAAAATGAAATACAAACAGTAAAAATACCGATCTTGGTCTTAAAACACCAGTACTCCACGAGAAATGGGGGGAGGGGGGGGAGGGGGATGTGACAATGATAACATGGTAAAAATATCAAGCCAGTCAAGATTCATAATCTCACTGAATATTATCTATTTCGGTGCTACACTCACTCGTTACTCTACTCCCACTCTCTCAGTTACTCCCTCATTCACTTCAACATTATCTCAAGTCACTCATTCATGTCCACACTCACCCACTCATTTATTCAATACCATACTCCAATACTCAGTCCCTTAGTCAGTCTCACCCTCACTCTCCACTCCCATTCCCCCCTCCCTCCCTCCCTCCTCTCACTCTCCCTCACTCCTACACCCTTCCTCCTCACCCCCACTCTCCCTCTCCTCACTCACTCCCATTCCCTCCCTCCCTCCTCCCCTCACTCCCCTCCCTTCCTTCCTCCCACCTCCCCCACCCACTTCCTCCTTCCTTCCCTCTCCTAACTCCCATTCCCTCCTTCCCTCTCCTCCCTCAACTCCCACTCCCTCTTTCCCTCCCTCACTCCACTCTCCCCCCTCCCTCACTCCCCACTCTTCCCCCCCTCATCCCACTCTCTCCCCCTCTTTCACTCCACTCTCTCCCTCCTTCCTTCCCACCCTCCCTCACTCCCACTCCACCCTCCCTCACTCCCTCTCCCCCTTACTCCCACCCTTCCCTCCCCCTCCCTCCCTCACTCCCACTCCCTCCACAAAAAAATCACCTGGAAAAGGCACTCCCTCCCTCACTCCCACTCCATCTCACCCTCCCTCACTCCACTCTCCTTCCTCCCCCTTACTCCCACTCCCTCCCTCCCCAACCCCCCCTATCTCCCTCCCTCACAAAAAATCACCTGGAAAAGGCACTCCCTCCCTCCCACTTCCTCCTTCCTCACTCCCCCTTACCCCATTCTCCCTCCCTCCCCTCCTCCTTCCTCCCTCCCTCCCTCCTCACTCCACACTCCCTTCCCCCCTAACCCCAATTCCACTCTCTCCATTCCCCTCCCTCCCTCCCTCCCACTCCCTCCTTCCCTCCCTCCCTCACTCCCACTCCCTCCTTCCCTCTTACTCCCACTCCCCCCTATCTCCTCCCAACCCTCCTATCTCCTCCCTCACAAAAAAAAAAAAAAAAAAAAAATCACCTGGAAAAGGCACTCCCTCCCTCCCACTCCCTCTCTCCCCCTTACTCCCACTCCCTCCCTCACAAAAAATCACCTGGAAAAGGCACTCCCTCCCTCCCTCCCCCCCTTTCCTCCCACTCCCTCCTCCCCTCTCCACCCCCATTCCCACCCTCCCTCACTCCCACTCCCCCTCATTCCCACTCCCACCCTCCATCCCTCACTCCCAATCCTCCCCCCCTTACTCCACTCCCCCTTCTCCCTCCCTCCCTCCCTCCCTCACTCCCAATCACCTGGAACGGGGAATGTCGACGGTTCTCCAGAGCCTCCAACATGCGCAGACTTGTTCCCACGATGGCCTCTTCGTCCAGACTGAGAGGGAGAAGGAGAAATGGAATAATTATCTTTAGTTTTGTTGTTAAGGATGGTGAATGGAGAATTAGAAATGAGAAGAAGAGAAGAAAGAAGAGAGAGGAAGAGAGGAAGAAGAAGAGAGAGGAAGAAGAAGAGAGAGGAGAAGAAAAGAGAGGAAGAAAGAAGAGAAGAAGAAAAGAGAGGAAGAAAGAAGAAACAGGAAGTAAAGAAGACAGAAGAAAGAAAAGAAAAGAATAATAATAAGAAAAGGGGAGAAGAGGAAGAAAGGGAGAAAGAAGAAGAAGAAGAAAAATAAATAATAATAAGAAAATGGGAGAAAGAGGAAGAAGACAAGAAGAAAAATAAATAATAAGAAGAAAATGGGAGAAAGAAGATGTCCAATTCCAACAAAGTAAAATCAAATGCACTAAACTTCTAAATTCATTGGCATATTTAAAACAAATGGAGCCCAATTACAAAAAGATATAAGAAAAAGAAGAGAGGGGAGAGAAGAAAGGCGACAAAAGAAGTAGTTGAAGAAGAAGATGGAAAAAGAAGGAGGAGGAGGAGAAGGAAGAAGAAGAAGAGGAAAAAAGAAGGAGAAGGAGAAGGAGAAGGAGGAGAAAAGAAGGGAGAGAAGGAGGAGCAGAAGGAGAAGTGGAAGAAGGAGGATGAAGGGTGAAGGAAGAAGAAAGAAGAAAAGAAAAAGAAGAAAAGAAAAAAGAAGAAAAGAAAAGAAAGAAAAGAAGAAGAAGAAGAAAAGAAGAAGAAGAAGAAGAAGAAGAAGAAGTCCCCTCAAGACCCACCTGAAGAAGGCGGGCATGAGCGTGCACACGGCCGTCGCGGACAGGGAGCTGCGGACGAGCACGAGGGCCCCATGGAGAGCGGCGGCGGCCAGGAGCGAGGGGCGTGTCTCCAGGGGCCACGCCTCCACCAGGACGATCCCCAGCAGGAAGCCCGAGCAGTCGATCACCTGAAGGAAATTAAATAAATCGATAAATAGAGAAAATATGAAGAATTTACTGGTTATCGAACTGTAATCATGGCGACTGTAGAAAGGGTATGAATGGGAATGGAATCTTCACTATACAAGATGTCTATTTAAATACATCTCTTGTATTGTGAAGATATCCATACTCGTTCATACCTTTTCTACAGTGCTTATTCTTATGCATGGTATGACAGACTGAAAAGAAACAATAAATAAATGAATGATAATAATTTAGATTCTTCCACTTGTTAGTGTTTGGTGTAAAAGGCTCACGAGACTCGAGTAAAATTACAACTGCCTGTTTCTTTTTGGCTCTGGTGTGGCTGAGAGAGAGAGAGAGAGAGAGGAGAGAGAGGAGAGAGAGAGAGAGAGAGAGACAGAGAGAGAGAGAGAGAGAGAGAGAGAGAGAGAAGAGAGAGAGAGAGAGAGAGAGAGAGAGAGAGAGAGAGAGAGAGAGAGAGAGAGAGAGAGAGAGAGAGAGAGAGAGAGACAGAGAGAGAGAGAGAGAGAGAGAGAGAGAGAGAGAGAGAGAAGAGAGAGAGAGAGAGAGAGAGAGAGAGAGAGAGAAGAGAGAGAGAGAGAGGAGAGAGAGAGAGAGAGAGAGAGAGAGAAGAGAGAGGAGAGAGAGAAGAGAGAGAGAGAGAGAGAGAGAAGAGAGAGAGAGAGAGAGAGAGAGAGAGAGAGAGAGAGAAGACAGAAGGACAGAGACAGTCAGAGAGAGAGAGAGAGAGAGAGACAGAGAGAGAGACAGAGACAGACAGAGAGAGAGAGACAGAGACAGAGACAGAGAGACAAGAGAGAGACAGAGAGACAGAGAGACAGAGAGAGAGAGAGAGAGAGAGAGAGAGAGAGAGAGAGGAGAAGAGAGAGAGAAGAGAGAGAGAGAGAGAGAGAGAGAGAGAGAGAGAGAGAGAGAGAGATAGATAGATAGATAGATAGATAGATAGAGAGAGAGAGAGCAGCAAAAGAACGAAAATCAAAAATAATCAGCCCAAGAGAAAGAGGATGGAACGTATTCCCTGATCACCTAAAACCAAACAAGATTCATCACACGCACATTTGCTTGACGCACCGAGAAAGTTACCACTGCACCACACAGCACACAAGGAGGTGGTTGTAAATGGTGGATTATTATCCTTATTATTATTATCCTTATTATCCTTATTATCAAAATTATCATCATCGTCATTATCATATAAATATATTAATCAAAACTATTATATTATTATCATTATTATTATTTATTATTATATCATCAAAACTATTATAATCATCATCATTATATCATTATCATTATTTCAATCATTAATTTATGTTTTCTTTTTTAGAGCTTGGTGTGTCTCTTTTTATGGTATTTGTTTTTATGTTAATGAAGAATATGTGTGTAACGTGTTGTGGGACTGAGCGAGTTGGATATTCACTCTCGTTTCTTTTTAATCTTTTTAAATTGTAATTATAAGTTGTGCACAGATACACACGCACGCACACACACACTCACACGCTCGTATGTTATATCTTTTCTCCCTCTCTATTCCTCTCACTCGCGCACTCTTACACAATCTTTTCTATATTTATACACATACACTGTTATTCTCCCACACTCACACTTCTCACACTCACACTCATCCCTACGCACAGTCTGTTCACACAAGCAGACTCACTCATATACAAATTCACACTCAATTCACATACTCACACTTTCACTCAATTCCTCATCTACACACATCCTCCTCCTCAATTCCTCATACTCATCCTCACTCATATCATCATCCTCACACCTTCACGCGTCCTCATACTCACCCTCACAAATATCCTCTTACTCATCCTCACACCCGCACTCATATCCTCACACCCACACCCTCACTCATATCTTCATACTCAAGCCTCACTCACACTCAAATACCACACAAAAACCCAAACTTTTCCGCCAAAAAAGAAAAGAAAGAAAGAAAAGAAAAAAAAAAAAAAAAAAAAAAAAAAAAAAAAAGAAAAAGCAAAAAAAAAGAAAGAAAAAGAAAAAACAAAAAACAGAAAGAAAAAGAAAAAAACAAAAAAAACAAACAACAACAAAACACACAAACTCACCATGTTATCCTGATCATTGCAAGTGAGATACAAGAAGTAATTAAGGAAGGAACCCTGATCAGCGCAACTCAGCTCGAACTTCAGCACACTCAGCACCTGCCGCTCGAGGGAGAGGAGCTCTGCCCGCGTGTAAGAGTTCAGAGTCAGCTGGAGCAAGTCTGAAGTCTGAAAGGGCGGAGGTGGGCGTCAGAGAGGCGGTGTTACTTATACGTCGCCGCTCCACTATTTCCTTCTAAATTCGGTTTCGAATACCAGAAATAAGGGGCTGGGATTTTGGGATTGGGAATAAGAGGCTGGGATTTTGGATTGGAATAAAGGCTGGGAATCTGGGATTGGGAATAAGGGGCTGGGAATGTGGGATTTTGAATATGGGATTGGGATTATGATTGGACTAAGGGGCGGGATTGAGAATTGGATGGGATATGGGGATTGGGATAGGGATTGGGATTATGGGGCTGGATTTGGGAGGAGAAGGACTGGGAACTGGGATTGGAAAATTTTTGGGAATATTGGGATTGGGAATCTGGGATTGCGAATATTTTGGGGAATGTGGGATTTTGAATATGGGTTTTGGGATTATGGAATTGGGAATAGGGGAGTGAGAATATGGGGCTGGGAATAAGTTGGGAATATGGGATTTTGGAATTGGAAATATGGGGTTGGGAATCAGGGGCTGGGAACAAGGGATTTGGAATATGGAATTGGGAATATGGGATAGGAAATGCGTACCTGGCTGCAAATGGGATGTGGAAAAGAGCAATAAATATGATAAAGATAAAGAGGGGAATACAAAGAAAGCGAGACAGAGAGAAAGAAAGTGAGGGAGAGACAGATAAAGAGGGAGAGGGAAAGAGAGAGAGAGGGGTGAAGGGGGAAGTAGAAAGGGAGAAGGGAAAGCGAGGAGAGGGGAGGATAAGGAAAGGAAAGGAAGTGGTAGGGAAGTGAAATTGAAGACAGGGAAGAGAAGGAAGAGAAGGGAAGGGAAGAGAAGGAAGGGAAGGAATGAGAAGAAGATAGAGGAAAGGGGAGAAGGGGAGAGAGGAAGGGGAGAGAGAGGAATGGAGAGACAAAAGAGAGGAGTGGAGAGACAAGAGAAAGAAGAGAGAAGAGAGGGGAGAGAGAGAGAGAGGAGAGAAGAGAGGGAGAGAGACGAGTAAAGAGACAAGAGAAAAGAGAAGAAAAGTAAGGAGACGAGACACAGAAGAGGAAAGAGACCAGATAAAAAAGACCACCGACCAGAAATGAGAAGACAGACCCGAGAGGAGGGACACACTACATAACGAAGAGTCCTTCATAACCAAACCCCGATACAACGACCACAACCCCTCTCCCAAATCCTCACCTCAGTCGGTCTCTTCTCCTCCAACTTGGACACAATGAGGAGAGAAGTGATGGCCAGAAGCTGTACCCTATGGACCGGTACACAGCGGACCTCCAGAACCCGGTCCACCAATGAGATGCTCTGGTACAGGGTCTCCGAAGATAGCTCGAGGTAGCTCTGTGGCGGGAAGGTTTTGGGGGTTGAGGGAAGCTGCTAAGGGTAAAAAAATTGATAGGGAGGAATTGGTCGTTTTTATTGTTCTGTTCATTTGAGTTTATCTTTCTTTTCTTTTTTAATCTCGTGTTTTTTTTTTTATTAAACTCTTCCTCTCTTTCCTTCTCATTCTATCTCTCTCTCTCCCTCTCTTTCGTCCATCATCTGTATCGTAGGATTTCTACTTTTCCCCTTCACCCAACCCTCCCACCCTCACCCTCCCTTCATCCCTTCCTTTCTCTCCATCTATACACTACTTACACTTTTCCTTTTTTGATGTCCATGTAACATTGTCTCTCCTCCATCTTTCTCTCTCTCTCTCTCTCTCTCTCTGTTCTGCTTCCCTTTCTGCACCACACCGTTTATTTTTCTCCCTCTTTCTTCCTATCCCTATTTTTCTTTCTGTCTCTCTCTCTCTCATTACCACGCTAACTCCACTCACACTTAACCATTAGTCACATCTCACTTATTACTGACCCAGCACTCTCTCTTCCCTCTCTCCAATTCTTACCCTCTTACACTCACCCTCCTCTTACCCACTTCTCATCCACATTTTTCATCTCTTTTCCCAACACTCTCCCCTCCTCTCCCCCATTCTCTTACCCATTTCTCCCTTCTCTCACCTACCTCTCCTCCATTCTCTCACCCATTTCTCCCTCTCCTCTTCTCCATTTCTCACCCACCTCTCTCCCTTCTCTCACCCCTTTCTCACCCTCTAACCCAATTCTCATCCACATTTCTCCCTTTTCTCCCCCATTTGTCCCACTTCTCTCATTCACCTCTCCCCCTTTCTCCATTCACCTCCCCCTCTCTTCCCCATTTCTCTCCACCCACTTCTTCCCATTCTCATTCACCCATTCTCTCACCCTCTTCTTACCCTCTCACCCACTCTCTCTCCCTTCTCTCCCCCTCCTCTTCCCCATTTCTCCCTTTTCTCACCCACTTCTTCCCATTCTCACACCCATTCCTCACCCTCTTCCCCATTCTCCCCTCTTCCCATTTCTCTTCCCATTCTCCTTTCTCCCTCCTCCCCCCCCTCCTCTTCCCCACCTCGCATTCGGCCCCACCTCACCTGGACCTGTATGAGCCAGTCCACTAAAATGGCTCTGGTGCGTTGATTAACCGAAGGGTGCGTGGACAGGTAACTGGTTCTCATGGACTTCTAGCAAGCACTTCATGACATCCTGAATGGTTAATGGTTAAAAGCGATAGCACTTCATGACATCCTGGAGAAGAATGGATGGGTTAATGGTTAATAAAAGCAAGCACTTCTTGTAATGGTAATAAAGCAAAATAAATATGCTAGCACTTCATGACATCCTGGAGAAGAATGGTTAATGGTTAAAAGCAAAATAAATATGCTAGCACTTCATGACATCCTTCATGCTAGGTAATGGTTAATGGTTATATGCTAGCACCTCATGACATCCTGAAGAATAATGGTTAATGGTTAATGGTTAAAAGCAGAATAAATATGCTAGCACTTCATGACATCCTGGAAGAATGTTAATGGTTAAAAGCAAAATAAATATGCTAGCACTTCATGACATCCTGGAGAAGAATGGTTAATGGTTAAAAGCAAAATAAATATGCTAGCACTTCATGACATCCTAGGTTAATGGTTAAAAGCAAATAAATATGCTAGCACTTCATGACATCCTGAGAAGAATGGTTAATGGTTAAAAGCAAATAAATATGCTAGCACTTCATGACTCCTGAAGAGGAATGGTAATATACTGGTTAATGGTTGAAAGCATAATAAATGTACTAGAGATCTAAGGTCATATTGCACTATAGGAAGGTACAGTAAAGGGTGGGGAAGGGTGATAGCTGCTCCACGTGGAAGGGTTGTCGTGTTTTTTGGTCATATTTTTTCTACTTATAGTGTACATGTACATCTCTGGATTTAATTGTTAGACCTGTCTTGACTGTCCTTCTTCTTGTCTGTCTGTCTGTCTGTCTAACTCTGCTCCTTCCCCGTCTCTCTTACACTACATTAAACAAAGATGTATCCAAGTTGTTGCCTTCACATATGTTCCCGTCTCATGCTACACCTGTTAGCTTTTACGAAATATAAACAGATGTGTCTATATATAGATTGATATACTGGTGCATGCATGTTCGTATTCCATTTAAATAATTTATCCAGTGTAATTACACACAGAACAAACTTAAGCAACTTGGGTAAGCAAGATTTCAACATTGCAAACGAAGGCAATTTACTTTTAGGCTTGTTTACAGAGGCATGTCACTTTCAACCTCCAAGAGACACACACAATGCTTAGGGAATTAAGGGTTGCAATCTCGTGTGCATCGTGGTCTGCAACGTGCGTGGCATGAGTAACTTTTTTTTTATCTGTGGCTATTTCTAACAAGGCGAAAGTCAGCGAAGATACAGCTTTATTCCCGTATATTGAGAGGCATGTGCAGACGCTAAATATAGCATTATGTAGGTGAAGTTCCTAACTTTAGCAAATGATTTTAGATATCACTAAATTACAACTAAATTACTACGGTCTGACTTGAATGAAATTACGATATCCCATTTTTCATTTTTTCCTCAAACTGTGTAGATATGAATCACCTTCCCGCCATAATTTATAAATACGTGGTTTTATTTATTTATTTATTTATTTGCTAACCTAGTCATGCACCTCTTATCATGACTACGACCTGCTGGTTTTACAAATGCGCAGTGTGCACTGGGAACAGCTGTGCGGATAAGAGAGGTTAAATGATATCTGTATAAAAAAGGTAGTTTGAGATCTGAAAAAAAAATATTGTTCAATTGTCTTCTAATAAACGAATAATAATGGTTTGCAATAACCATAACTGATATCTGTATATAAAAGGTAATTTAGAGATTACTAAAAAACAAAATATGTTTTAATCATATTTCAATAAATGAAGAATGATGCTTATTGCAATTAAGTACGAAAGACGGCGGAAGAGAAATTATAAATAATATTTTCCGTTGGCCCAGCTGAGGATCCAGCAAATATTTTATCAATAATAGTCCTAATAACATCCTGGCAATATTTACATATTCAGGTATCGAAGGTGAAAATTGTGCCAAAGTGAGCATTTGGCAACACCACGGCTGAGAATGTTAATTTTTTTAAACATTCATTACACGAAACGCCATCTGTTAATGACTGGAACAACCTAAACAGTCCGTAATGGATCACTCACATTCATTTCCATAATCCAACTCAGCTAATTCAGAATAAACGAGTTTTAATAAACCTTTCAACTGGGCAAATTTCCACAAAATATGCTACGACGATGCACCTTCTTCACAGCCATAGTCTACCCCAAAATTCTATTTCTTTCTCACTTTTCCACGACTACGCTCCAACTTTCCTTCATTTACTCTTAAAATATAATCATAATCTACCCACATCAACCTTAATCTACCCTTAAAGATCCACTCTTCATAAATCTCTCTCATATCAACCTCAACATCTACTCGTTTACATATCAACCTCAACAGGGTCAACCTAGTCAAATATTCATCACGATTCGAGAAAAAACACGTGGAACAAATTCTCTCTGAACAAACCATTTAACTAAGAAGCTAAAAACAATATGGTCATAATATCCTATATTATTTTATAGCGCAATAATCTACGGTCATGAATTAACTCGTGTTCTCCGGGCATTTTGACCCCCCCCCCCCCATGAAAGATGGGTCCTCAGGAGTCACATTAGTAGGCCTACCATGCCCAATATCACAAGACATACCAAATCAGTGTTACGCACATCCAATACTACATAATTACGAAATCAGTACCATCCAGGGCCGACATCGCCATACGAAATTAATACCAAGCATTTTCAATACTCCGAGAATGTAGACCTACATGCACAACAAAGGGTTTTCTCTCTCTACTGTCAAACCGTAGGAATGACTGCATTTTTGGTCTCTCACCTCCTCGTAGTCATCGGCGAGGCAGTAATTTCGCTTCCAGATGACCTTTTGCGGTAACGAGCTTGTCACGTGTTCCTGTCCTGGAGGAGTGGATAGTTAGAAATCATTCATGGCTATCGAGAACCTCGTTCCTGGCTAGTTAGCAATCACTCATGGCTATAAGTAATTCACTTACGATTAGTCAGACTTCACTATGACACACACGAAGTATGAATGAAACAATTTCCGCACTTTATTTTTTTATTCACACCTGCCATTCATTCATCACACGTTTCATCATTCACTACTTGGAGTGATTCATGGATACGATATGATCTATTGTTTCGGAAATATAAATATTGTGGATAGTTCTAATATCTGACAAATGCTAGATTTATGTATAAATATTGTGAGCAAAATAATTTCAGCTTTTATGAATTTATAGGTACGTCACTGCGGACTTACCGAATGTTGTAATGTGATGAATGAGACACATACACACTGACATTAGCTTATAATAAAAGAATACAGGGCATTATTTTTACATTTTCCATATTCACATCAAGTTATTAGGTTAACCACTTACATATACATCTACAGGCCTGGCCATTCGGAAGAAAAACAATCTTATTCTTCCCTCTCTCTCTCTCGTTTCTTCTTTTCTCTCCTAATCTAATCATTCCACTCAACTTTTCGCCTTTCTTCTTCCCTACTGCTCCCTTACTCTCTCCTTTCGTCTTCACCCTCTCTCTCTCTCCCTCCCTCACGTCTTTTCTTCTCTTGTCTTCCTCCTTACTTCCTTTTCCTCCGCCCCTCATTCCCTTTGTTCTTCTTCCCTCTGTCTTCCGCCCTCTCTCTCTTTCCCTCTTCTGCTCCATTCATTCTCACCCTCTCTCTCCCACCTCTCTTGTTCTCCCTTCTTTTCCTCATCTTTTCGATTCCTTTTTAATCACTCCCTTTCCTCTCTTCCTTTTCCCCTTCTCTTCCCTCTCCTTTTCCTTCTCCCTCCACTTCTCTTTCCTCTCCCATTTTCTGCTCCCCTTTCCCTTTTCTTTCCTCTTGGTTTTTTAACCACTCTCTCTCATTTTCCCCATCTTCCTTACTTTCTTATTTCTCTTTACCTCTCTCTTTCATCTTCTCTTACCTCCCTTTCCTTTCCTTTACTTCCCTTTCTCTAATCTGATCAGCTGTAACTTCAGAGAACAAATATTTACTCTATATTCAAGAAAAATAAGGATCAGTACACCTTAGGCATTTATCCACATTCAAGGCAGGCGCCATCCAGAGAAGAGCCATGCATGCCAATCCCAACTCCCTGACTCCATTCCCTTTACCTGGGACCTGCAGGACGTGGTCGTCGATGGCCCCCTGGCCCCTCCTGCGGCGCTGGTAGGGCTGGGGGGTCCTGGAGCCGCTGACCCTCCGCGTGACCCTCCGCGGCCGCCCCACCGTCGCCGCGTGGACCGCCGTGGGGGCCCCGTCGACGCGGAGCCCGAAGCGGAAGGGTGCTCCTGCGTCCGCGGGTTTCTTCGAGGCGTGTTCGGGCACGTTCTGCGTGAGCGCCAGCGGGAAGCGAGGCGGCCGGGAGAGGATTTTGCCATCCTTGGAGGCGGCGTCTTTCGCCTTGGTGTCGTCGGCGCCCAGGGGTTTGGGGGCGATGTACGAGCTCCTGATGGCGCCGCTGCCTCGCGTCACGAAAGACGACACCTGGCTCTGCACCTCCACCTTCCCGAACACGGGGACTCCGATGCACCTTCCGGCCATGGCCGGATAAGGAATGGCCATAGGAACACAGCCGAGGGATGTGCTCGCCGCGGGAAAGGTGTGCTCACCACTGCCACGCCCACAGCACGAGGAGAGGGGCAGGGGAGGCGGCGGCGGCGGCGGAGGGGCGGCAGGAGCCGTGAGGGCGTAGATACAAGGCGCGACACTCTGCGAACCCAAGTTGGTGAAGGACGCACTCCACACCCATTTGAAGTCCATCGATATTATGGCAAATTTCAGCGACACACATTAAAGCTTGAGAGGTTTATTTCTGAAGCAATCACTGTCACTTAGATCTATCACCAGACACGATTTTTAAAACTCGGAAGGGTGACGATTCCAACACTGCGGAATGACGGCTGCAAAATAAACAAACGTGCAAGCTTGAGCAATAAAAAAAAATCGTTATCAACACTGGGGTGCATTTGATAAAAAAGATAAACTGCTGATAAATGGATTCAAATCCCTTTTTACAAACAAATACATAATCCCACAAGGAGAAAAATACCACCACGCACTTTGAACACAAACACAAATACGATAAACTATCACGGTGTCCACACAGGTGTTCGCCGGGTAAGTAGCCAGTCTTGTTGATGGAGAAATCAGCTGACGACTGATCCGAACACTTTACGGAAAAAAATGAGCTTCTGAAGCTTCGTATTCCAAGTCTCGGGTGGTGTTTCG